CACCACACACACACCACACACACACACCACACACCACACACCAACCACACACCACACCACACACGCACACCACACACGCACACCACACACCCACACACCACACCACACACGCACACCACACACGCACACCACACACGCACACCAACACACACGACACCACACACCACACCACACCACACACACACCACACCACACCACACCACACACACACCACCACACACACCACACACACACCACACACACACCACACACACACCACACACACACCACACCACACACACACACACACACACACACACACACACACACACACACACACACACACACACACACACACACACACACACACACACACACACACGCATGAAGAAAGGTTAAGGGAAATTTGCCTGACGACACTAGAGGACAGGAGGGTCAGGGGAGACATGATAACGACATATAAAATACTGAGCGGAATAGACAAGGTGGACAAAGACAGGATGTTCCAGGGAGGGGACACAGAAATAAGAGGTCACAATTGGAAGTTGAAGACACAGATGAGTCAGAGAGATATTAGGAAGTATTTCTTCAGTCATAGAGTTGTCAGGCATTGGAATAGCCTAGAAAGTGATGTAGTGGAGGCAGGAACCATACATAGTTTTAAGACGAGGTATGATAAAGCTCATGGAGCGGGGAGAGAGAGGACCCAGTAGCAACCGGTGAAGAGGCGGGGGCCAGGAGCTAGGACTCGACCCCTGCAACCACAAATAGGTGAGTACACACACACACACACACACACACACACACACACACACACACACACACCACACACACACACACACACACACACACACACACACAGGTTCAAATGTTGTCAGGCTACATAAATTTATGATTTATTGACATTTATTGAAGATATTGTACAGTGACATTAATCAGAAATAATTTGACTCTCAAGTTTTTATTTTTAATTGTTGCCAAAAATCAGCAAACATAATGCTAATTTATAATATTTCTGCTGCTTGGTACAGCTCAAAGAAAATGTGGTTAATGACATTGAGAATACAGTCGAATACTTAATTTTGTTTTGTCATTATTTTTACCAAAGAGTGAAGAGATCTTCTTGGACATGTTTGAGGATGAGTGGCATGAGATGCACCGGAAACCCCTTAATGTGGAGTATCTTCTGCAAGATGCTTCTGTATTATTACCACCAGCAGGCACACCACTCACTGGCATTGACTTTAATAAAAGATTGCCCTGTGGAGAGGTATGTTCATTTGACTATTGGAATAAGAGTTTTTATAGTGAAAATATCAATAAAAGTATCATGTTGTACTGTTGAGTAGTTGAACCAGTTCTGGGAGCCTTAGTAACTTTTGGGTTTCTAGAATTTAATGTTAATAATAAGTAATATTATTTGATAATATGGCACAATATTTAAATAATAATTTGATGATTCCCCCTTTATGCATTTTATTACTTATGTTTTTGCATCTATATTTTGCTTTCATACATCTGATTTACTTTTTTTCTTGTACTATATAATTACTTCAGTTTTTTCTATATTTGTTAATCCAAGAAAATAGCAAAGGTAGAATTCTTAAAAATATCACGTCTAAGGTTGAACGAGCACGACGAGCCATGCGAGTGTTCTTCCTGGTTCGAGAGATTACCTTGGCTGTACGTGATGAGCCAGACAGCCACTTGCCTCTGACAAACCCTGCTGCCTGTGTCCAAGTAGCTGATGTTCTAGATCTTAGTAAGTGTGGTGTGTGTGTATGAATACTTCCAAATGAGAAATTTTAAACTTAGTTTGATTTTGTGTGAAGAGAATGTAAATGAAAGTAATAAAGCAGGAGGTACAAAGGAAGGGAACTAGTGGATACTTATTTAGATGAATTTCTAGAGTAGCAACAGTGACTAGTATACTTTTAAATAATGGCAAGTCTGGCCTGGGGCCAGACTGTGAGAGTAGGAAAATTCTCAAGCTTTCTAAGGTACGTATATGAAAAGTATGGCACTTGAAATATCTTTTTTGTATTAGGAACTTTCTTTTTTTTTTTTTTTTTTTGCTGGTTAATTAAATATTAAATGGATTTTCAAATAAAAACTTTTTTCAAATATCAACAGTGTTAATTGTGATCTTGCTAGCATTATATTGTATTGGTGAGTCATAATGGCTGTTCTAGTTGAAAACAATAGCTCACCTGGGTAAATAACCTAACATATTGTTCAATATAAAAATTAGTATACTGCAGTGAATTTGTATGGTCATAATATATATCTTATAAATGCTCCTTTTGGGCAATAGTGACCCGATTATAATATGTACAGTGCTTTTTCAGATAACAGTGACCTGATTGCCTGCGTGGTTATTCCTCGGGATGGACAGCGCACCAAACGCTTTCTAGTGATTGATGTCATTCAGCTGATCCTTGTGGAACCAGACTTGAGGAGACTAGGCTGGGGAGTGGCAAAATTTGTAGGTTTTTTACAGGTAAGCCAGGCATTTTCCCAAAATAAAAATAAGGTTATGAAAATTCAGTAGAGACTCTCTTAACTTAACAATGGAGTTCCATTCCTAAGACCATGTCAGTAAACGAATTCGTTGCCAAGCAAGGAGCATACTATAATGGTAGTGGGTTTGTGTCAGCCATCTTTGATATTGTTTTAATGTCACCTTTACACCATTTATAACATTTTTAGTATAATATTAAATGTTTATACAGTAGTGTACTGTGTATTGTAATAAACAGAATAGAGGAAATTAGCTCTAATATGCATTATTTAGGAATGAATACTGGTCAGAGAGCCTGTTGTATGTCCGAGTCATTGGTAAATGAGTACGTCGCTAAGTGAGGAGAGGCTGTATTTAGATAACGGCAAAATAATAATAATAATAGTAGTACATACTATTAATTATAATTGTGATATACAGTGGACCCCCGCATAACGTTGGCATCGCATAGTGTTAAATCCGCATAGCGATACATTTTATCGCTAAAATTTTGCCTCGCATAGTGCTAAAAAATTCGCTCAATGCGATTCGTCCGAGACACGTCCATGCGGCCTGAGCCAGCCTCACTTGTTCTGCCAGTGGCATTGTTTACAAGCCAGCCTCCGCGGTAACATTCAAGCATACAATCGGAACATTTCGTATTATTGCAGCCTTTTTATAGTGATTTCACTTGAAAAATAAGTGACCATGGGCCCCAAGAAAGCTTCTAGTGCCAACCCTACAGGAATAAGGGTGAGAATTACTGTGGAGATGAAGAAAGAGATCATTGCTAAGTATGCAAGTGGAGTGCGTGTCTCGAGCTGGCCAGGTTGTATAGTAAACCCCAATCAACCATCGCTTCTATTGTGTCCAAGAGAACGGCAATCAAGGAAGCTGTTCTTGCCAGAGGTTTAACTGTGCTTTCGAAACAGAGATCGCAAGTGATAGAAGATGTTGAGAGACTGTTATTGGTGTGGATAAACGAAAAACAGATAGCAGGCGATAGCATCTCTCAAGCGATCATAGGTGAAAAGGCTAGAAAGTTGCACGAGGATTTAATTAGAAAAATGCCTGCATCTAGTGGTGATGCGAGTGAATTTAAGGCCAGCAAAGGTTGGTTTGAGAGATTTAAGAGGCGTAGTGGCATACATAGTGTGATAAGGCATGGTGAGGCTGCCAGTTCGGACCAAAAAGCAGCTGAAAAATATGTGCATGAATTCAAGGAGTACATAGACAGTGAAGGACTGAAACCTGAACAAGTGTTTAATTGTGATGAAATGGGCCTGTTTTGGAAGAAAATGCCAAGCAGGACCTACATTACTCAGGAGGAAAAGGCACTCCCAGGACATAAGCCTATGAAAGACAGGCTTACTCTTCTCATGTGTGCCAATGCTAGTGGTGATTGCAAAGTGAAGCCTTTATTAGTGTATCACTCTGAAACTCCCAGAGCGTTCAGGCAAAAGAATATCCTCAAGGCTAATTTGTGTGTGCTGTGGAGAACAAATAATAAGGCATGGGTCACTAGGGACTTTTTCTATGACTGGGTACACCAAGCATTTGCCCCCACTGTGAAAAATTACCCAACTGAAAAGAAATTAGACCTTAAGTGCCTCCTGGTGTTAGAAAATGCCCCTGGTCATCCTACAAACTTGGCAGAGCGACTTTGTGGGGACATGAGCTTCATTAAGGTGAAGTTTTTGCCTCCTAATACCACTCCTCTCCTGCAGCCCATGGACCAGCAGGTTATTGCAAACTTCAAAAAACTGTACACAAAAGCTCTGTTTGAAAGGTGCTTTGTAGTGACCTCAGAAACTCAATTGACTCTAAGAGAGTTTTGGAGAGAGCACTTTAATATCCCCAATTGTGTAAACCTTATAGGTAAGGCTTGGGAGGGAGTGACTAAGAGGACCTTGAACTCTGCTTGGAAGAAACTGTGGCCAGAATGTGTAGACCAAAGGGATTTTGAAAGATTTGAGGCTAACCCTGAGAATCCTATGCCAGTTGAGGAATCAATTGTGGCATTGGGGAAGTCCTTGGGGTTGGAGGTTAGTGGGGAGGATGTGGAAGAGTTGGTGGAGGAGGACAATGAAGAACTAACCACTGATGAGCTGCTAGATCAACTTCAACAGCAAGAGGCCACACCTGAGGAAATTGCTTCGGAGGAGGGGAGAGAGAAATTGAAGAAGTTGCCTACTTCAAAGATTAAGGAAATCTGTGCAAAGTGGCTTGAAGTGCAAACTTTCATGGATGAAAATCACCCTCAGACAGCTGTTGCAAGCCGTGCTGGTGACTATTACACTGACACTGTTGTGAAACACTTTAGGAAAGTCATAAAGGAACGAGAGGTACAGGCCACTATGGACATATATGTTGTGCGGCAGAAGTCCAGTGACTCTGAAGCTGGTCCTAGTGGCATTAAAAGAAGAAGGGAAGCAACCCCGGAAAAAGACTTGACACCTTAAGTCCTAATGGAAGGGGATTCCCCTTCTAAACACTAAAACCATCCAGTCTCCCCTCCTCCCATCCCATCAATCATCACCACATCTTCAATAAAGGTAAGTGTCATGTAACTGTGCATGTTTTCTTAAGTTTGTGTGTATTAAAATTAATATTTCATGTGATAATTTTTTTTTTTTTTCATACTTTTGGGTGTCTTGCACGGATTAATTTGATTTCCATTATTTCTTATGGGGAAAATTAATTCGCATAACGATAATTTCGCATAACATTGAGCTCTCAGGAACGGATTAATAGCGCTATGCGGGGGTCCACTGTATGTGATAATGAGTGTTTCCTTTTTTATTTTTTTTTGAGTCTTCCTGTGTTAGTGGGAAACGACTGTCATGGTAATAAGAAAGAAAATTACAGTATTTACAAGGAAATGTAGTACTGTACTGTATATAGGCAACAGTACTGTTTTTTTTTTTTTATTTACACATTGTCCGTTTACCACTGAGTCATTATTACCCAGTATCTCATCTTCATTAGATAGAGAGGGGCACTACTGATAAACCTGAAATATTGAAATGAATTACAGAAGGGGATTAAAAATATTTTACAACACTTGTTCTCTATGCATAGTATAAGGTATCTTCCACATTTGTTCCATAGGAAACTAGTGCCCTCATATTTCCTTGCTCTAATGTAGAAGTGTTTGAAAAATAGTTTTGCCCTCAAGTTGTACACTGCCAAGTCTGTTATATAGAGGATTGAATGAATGATGGCAAATACATAAATTTTTTAATTTTTTTAAACGGCAAATAAATTTTTATGTAGTACATAACTGTATACCTAATTCTTTTAGGATTTAGAAGTGAATGGAGATAAAGATGATTCTCGAGTGCTACATTTAACCATCCACCGGCCATCTGCATCATCGGGAGTCACTGGAAGACCAACCACTCCCCTCTTAGCAGCAAAATTTATTTTCGATGACCATATACGATGTATGGCTGCTAAACAAAGGTCTGTACACTGATAATTTTCAAAAGTAAAATAATAAATTTTCTGTGATTGTAAAAAAAAAAAAATCCATACTGTTTCATAATTTTTTCCAGCCTGAGCATTGCATGCACCCATTATTGATTTCACTAAAATAAAAAAGAAATTGAAGGCATATACAATTCAGGATGGTGGACCCCAACTTAAGAATTCCTGAGTTATGAACATCCACACATGAACAGGGTTCAAAAGAAATAATATTCAAATACTGTAATTATTCTAAGATTACTGATCTGTAGTTATGAATGTGGGTGACATACAACCATCCCTTTTTTAATATTGGTTTCTATAGGAATATTAGCCCCAAGTTATAAACATCTCTTTATAAGATGGAACACCAGGATTGTAACTTAGTCATTAGTTGGGATCTCCTGTACATATATTAACTATGTTGCTCTCACTTGTATCATACCTCATACTATTTACTACTTATTGATTGATATTATCTATCATGGACAGACTTTGATATTTTTAATTCCCAGATTAACCAAAGGGAGGATGAAAGCACGACAAAGAAAATTGCACCAGATTGCTCGGTTATTAGAACTCCCAGGCCATTTACAGCCTTGTCCATCACCACCAGCACACGCCCTTCACACCATGAGACAAGAAGCCCATAGTGAGTTGTCTTCCTTGTAATGCATAGTTAATAATCTGGATTGGTTGAGCTGTAAGGAAGTCCTATTTTTCTTTCTACAGTTTTATTAGTTTAGTTCTCACCCTGCAAATAAAACTGTTCATCCTTTCTCCCTCCTTTCTCACATCCCACTTTTTCTTTTTCTCCTCATCTCTTGTATGTCATTATCTAGTTGGATGATAGGAAATGGAGAATTTGCCTTCCAGGAGTTTAAATGTGATCTGTTTTATTTCTGGTTTGTTGCATCAAATATTTTGCTGTAAGTGAACACAATTACTTTGTTGATATTCTTGTGTGTGGGTGAGTGGCGAGACACTGACAGCACATGGCTGTCTTTCCCCAACATGTTTTACCATATTTTACAACTCTCATAATAACACAGCAGTTTCATCTACTGTAAACTTAAGGTACACAGACACCAGCACTACCACAGAATACAATTCTGCAAGTTCTCATTTGGCTAAAACATGTTCGGGTTGATTAGCCACTACTCCCACCACCTCTTTCTGTAATTAAATAAATATAAGTATGACAGTGCAGTACAGTTGGTTCTAGGTTGGCATACTGTTTGTATGATTTTTTACATTGTTGAGGAGAGTCTTATTTATTATGTATACAGTATAGAGGTGAAGTGTAATACATGGTCTTGAATTCAAAGGAAAAAAGGTATAACAGGGATACCTAGATACTGTAGTGGCTGTCTGTACAATATTACTAACATAAATTGGATTAAGCTTTTACATGCAAACACTGCAGAGGGAATGCTGAGTATATTTTAAAAAAGTATGCAGTATATACTGCCTCGGAGGGAGACGGCCGACTTGTTGAAAAAAAAAAAAAATATTTTAAGAAAAACAAAGTGACATTGGCAAACCTAAACCAGCTTAGATAACTCAACATTAAAAAAAATTGAAGTGCCAGTAAATTCTAGGGACCATACTTACTCAGTTATGAAGGGACAGCAAGAAAATTATAATATAAATGAGAATTTGTAAGCTTAACTTTAACATTAAAGCCATCACTGCCTGTTCCATTCCTATTCATCTGCTTTCTCTCTCCCTTTACTTATTCCATCTTTCCTCATTATTATAATCACAAATATAATACGTAGAGTACATTTATTTAAAAAGTGTTAGATAAGTATTTTGAAGATATTGATATAAATTTAGTACAATACCAGAAACTGCTGTAAATGTAATACTTTTAAATCTGGACATTTCCCACCAATGTAAGATAACTCAATGAAGAATATTAATGAATTTAGTAATTTACATATTTAGTTACCTACTACTTTTAGTTGTCTTCAGTGACACTAATAGTGTAAGAGGAAAGAATTTTAACCTATGTCCCTACAGGGAATATATTCTCATGTATAAACAATATATTTTTGATACTTGCCTCTCTGGAGGGACCAGCACTGGGAGTTATCTGGTTATGGTTCTGGGGACCATAACCTTTGTGCTTTGGTCTTGAACCAGGCCTTCTAAATTGGAAAGAAAATCAGTATATGGAATGTAAGTAGATGTTTGTAAGATTTACCTGTCATCTTACATGTTGATGAATTAGGAAAAAACATTTCTGCCAGGGTGCAAAACACTTAGCAGGGCTTTGTTTCATACTTGTATGACAGGACTGTAGTACCTCCCTAGATGGTTTCTGTCAACCATGTTTTGCTGCTTTGATTTTTCTTGGTATTAGTTATTATCCAACTGCATGCTAGAGCACTTGAATTGCATTTTTTAAGTGCTTAATTAAATCCACAAATATAGTAAGTTTACTTAAATTTATGGTTCTTGATGTCATTTTCATAGTGTAGTTCTTATAATTGTTCATTAGAGAATTTTAAGTAGAATGTTACGAGGAAAGTAAATTGGAAAACAAAACAAAAATTGGTGGCTTTATAGTGGTTTTTAAGTTTAATGAGGGAAGACTTTTATTTTTTGGAGCATTCTTAGTAACATTTTTGTTTCCTTTTTTACAAATTTGCATTTGCAAATAATTACACTTTTTAAGTTACTGTATGTAGATCATCATCATGGGGGAAGCACTGAATCCTTAGGAGTCATAGAGTGCCTGTGGAATGAGAAGTAGGCACAAAAGAAAGCTAATTCTGCAGTGCATTTCGGGCAAGTAATCATAAGGCTTACATGTTGCTTAAGAACTAGACTATTATGCATGACTTCTTGTGTAGTTAACTGCAATCATAAGTACAATAAGAAAGGTATCTAATGACAAATGATCAATTGCAAGAGTTGCATATGATTTAAACTGATTCAGTGATCTTCAATGTTGTGGAGGGATTGAATAGGGACAAGGTATATTCCTAGTTACATATGGGAGTTTAAGGAAGGATGGAAGAAGAACAGGGACAAAATTGGATGAAAAACAGGTTTTGTTTGACATAGTGGATTGATGCTTAGATTACATAAGGAGATGAGGTGCTTTTTAGCAAAAGTTCTGAATCAATAGGCAGATATGGGGCCTTTAGAGACCTTTATTACTACTACTGTTGCTACTACTGTTGCTACTACTGTTGCTACTACTGTTGCTACTACTGTTGCTACTACTGTTGCTACTACTGTTGCTACTACTGTTGCTACTACTGTTGCTACTACTGTTGCTACTACTGTTGCTACTACTGTTGCTACTACTGTTGCTACTACTGTTGCTACTATCTCTGTTGCTACTACTGTTGCTACTACTGTTGCTACTACTGTTGCTACTACTGTTGCTACTACTGTTGCTACTACTGTTGCTACTACTGTTGCTACTACTGTTATTACTACTGTTATTACTACTACTACTACTACTACACAAATAGCCCTCAGGAGACTGAAACCTACAATGACATTTTGGTCCGACTTGGACCATTAACCAGTGATTAGTTAACCCTTTGACTGTTTACGTCATATAAATACGTCTTACGTGCCACTGTTTCTGACGTATATATACTCAATAATTCTAGCGGCTTCAAATCAAGCGGGAGAAAGCTGGTAGGCCCACATGTGAAAGAATGGGTCTGTGTGGTCAGTGTGCACCACATAAAAAAAATCCTGCAGCACAGTGCGTAATGAGAAAAAAAAAACTGATCGTTTTTTTGGATTAAAACGCCGACTTTGAGGTGTATTTTCTTATAGTATTTATTGCTGTATTTGCGTTTTCATGGTCTTAGGTGATAAAATGGAAAGCATATTACAGAAATAGAAATGATTTTCATTACTTTGACGATGAAAACAACCTTGAAACTGAGCTCAAAGTAGCGGAAATGTTCGATTTTTACCAATGTTCAGGAGTAAACAAATCACACCACACATCCAATACACGTCAACTGGGGAGTCTAATATTCTTTCACTAGTGCACTGATATTATTTATACCATTTTTACAATAATGCAGTGGTCTGCATAACAGTAAATTTTGTATTTTTTTGTATGAATAAAAAATCAAAATAGAAAGCAATAATAATATAAGAGGGGCCTAGAGATGTGACTAATGAACAGAGGATATGTTATTTTAGTGCCAAGAATGTCTACCTTGTTTATTCCGGACCCTGTTTTGAAATAGGCATCTTTTTTAATTTGCGTGAAATTGGCCAAATTGCCAATTTCTGACCACTATATTGGGTAGTTCAAATTGGTAAATGGGCGGTTTCTTGTACTCAGCTGATAGATAAAATGGAGTTTTAACCCTTTCAGGGTCCAAGGCCCAAATCTGGAGTCACGCACCAGTGTCCAAGAATTTAAAAAAAAAAAATTTGTTATTTTTTCTTATGAAATCGTAGAGAATGTTTTTGTGAAGGTAATAAAACAAAAAGTACGAAATTTGGTGGAAAATTGACAAAATTATGCTCTCGCGAATTTTGATGTGTCAGCGATATTTACGAATCGGCGATTTTGCCGACTTTGACTCCCATTTTAGGCCAATTACATTATTCCAATCAACCAAATTCTTAGCTATTTCACTAGTATTACTTCTATTCTATCGATTGAGCACAAGAAATCGCCAAGTCAACTGTTTCAACTACAAAATAAAGTGATCGGAAATTGTTAATTTGGCCAATTTAACACAAAGTTCAAAATATTCCAATTTCAAAATAGGGTCCAGAATGAACAATGTAGGCATTCCTGGCACTAAACTAACATTTCCTCTGTTCATTAGTTATGTTTTGAGGCTTTACAAATAAATTCCATTTTGATTTTTTATTCACATAATGAATTTTTATTCACACCAAAAAATAGAAGATATACTGTTATGCAATACTGTAATAATTGTATAAATATCATCACCATATTTGTGAATGTATATTAGACCCACCAGCTGACGTGTATTAGACGTGTGAGGTCGTTTGTTTACTCTTGAATATCAGCAAAAATTTAACATTTCTGCTACTTTGAGCTCAGTTTCAAGCCATTTCCAGTGCTAAAACCAATCAAAATCATCTCTATTTCTGTAATATGTCTTCCATTCTATCAAATGAGACCAAGAAATCGCAAATACAACTATAAAAAACATACGAAAAACACTGCAAATTTGCTGTTTTAATCGAAAAATCATGATTTCATTTTTTTTCTCTTATTATACACAGTGTGCTGCAGGATCTGTTTTATGTGGTGCACACATACCACATAGATGTATTCTCTCATATCTAGGCCCAAATGTACCACTCACAGTTTATCAGAGTGAGCTGAGCTCATGGCGTAGATCTACGGTTTGGACCCTGAACATAAAGCCGTAGATCTACGGGACGGACCCTGAAAGGGTTAAAGAAATAGCTATGAGTTTGGCCGACTGGAACAACGGAATTGGCTGAAAGCAGGGCTCAAAGTCGGCGAAATCGCCGATACTCATATGTCGCTGAGACTGCTAACTTTGCTGGAGCGTAATTCCGTGGGTTTTCGACCAAATTTCGAACGTTTGGTGTCATTACCATCGGGAAAAGATTCTCTATCATTTCATAAGAAAAAAATATTTTTTTTTTTTTTTT